TCCTTTTTAAGATCCATGGCTGAACTAGCTACTGTTTCAGTTTGAGGTTGCGGTTTAACAATTGTTTCTTGCTTAGTAATAGTCTTCTTCACAGGAGCTGAACTGTTCTTTAAGATAGGCGGTTCTGTTTTGACAGGTAATCTACTTTCGAGCGGCACCGCCTGTTTGACAGCAAGCGCAGCTGCTTCCTTCTTGACACCCATTCTATTGGCGCTGCCGAAATCTTGAGCGTTTGCAGTGTTAATGCTCGACTGTCTTTGACTGTCATTTTTCAGTTCTTGAGCCTTTGCAGAAGCTATACTGGATTGTCTTTGACTATCTATTTTCTTCAGTACATCTCTCCTGTTTAAATCGTTGGAATTCTTTATTTGCTTTCCATTAGAACTATTTGTAGGCACTTTCGTCTCCTTTATCTTATTGAGGAAAGCTTGGCGATTCGCTTCGGTCCATTTGCCGAAAGGTACAGGCGCGTGGTTATTGTTGATTGGCTTTGTTTCAGTAGTCGATGTCGCTTTGGATAAAGTTTTCTTTTCGACTGGTTCATTTTTAGTTTGCGGTATGGTATTTGCAGGGACTGGCTTGACGGCTTGTGCATTAATTTCTTTTAGTTCCTTTATAGTGGCAGCAGATTGCACTTTGGGGTCACCTTTAGAAGCCACGAGAGTGGCAGAGACATCCGAATTTACGCTGGGCAAGGTGTTGGCAAGCTTTTTGTCTATATTCACTTGAGTATCGTTATTTTGTTCCTGGGGTAATTTTGGTTTTACATCTTTTGGTTCATTAATGTCTTTCTTTTCTGGTGTCACATCCTGTTTCTCTATTTTATCTGATTTATCTTCTTTCTGCTTAATTCCTGCTTCTACTTTTGACGGTTTAGAAATGGTGACTGGGATTGGACTTGTTGAAAGATTAACTGAAGACGTCGAATCCTCAACTGAAGACGATTTGGTAGCATCAATGGTCGTAGCTTGAGACTCCTTCTTTTCATCTTTAACCATGTCTTGAGTATTAGCAACATCATTTGTGTCAATCTTTTTCACAATTTTGCTGTTAATATTGTCAGTGCACATATCCTTTACAATTTCTTTAGCAGCAGTAATATCAACTGTATTAATCTTTTTGTCAGTTTTGTTTTCAATATTGTCAGTGACCAATATGTTATCCACCTCATCAGCAGCTTTTGATGATTGGTTGTCCACAACAACATTCTTTGCATTGTTATTAACACTACTATCTACATTGGTGACTTCAATATCGCTCTTAGCTACAGTTTCTTTACTAACTTTTTCTAAATCTTTGTTATTAGCAGATGTACTGATGTTATTTTCATTTTCTTTAACTAACTCTGGGATTTGACATTTCTCGTTAACATTACTTTCAACTGGAGGTGGAGTAACATCAGGTAATTTAGTTTCTGGAGCAAGTAAAGCAGTTTCCTCAATAATATCCATTTTAGGATCTTCTTCAATTTCCGGTTTACTTGTTTCGTTTTCAACAACTAAGGGTTCTGATGATTTCTTGTCATTATTTATACTTAAATCAGCCGACTTAGCTTCTGTCTCTTCAGATTTGTTGAGTTTCTTATCCAGTTTAATGTTATCATCTTTTTCGAGAATTTCATTCTCTTTTATATCAATCACCAACTCATTTTCTTTCTCATCAATCACCAACTTCTCTTCTATCATTTTATCTTCTTTTTCGACATCAACTTCTGTAACATCTTTTGACAAGTCTGTGACATCTAAACCTAATTCTACTACACTACTTTTATCACCAGAAGTATTTTTTTCAGCCAATACAGGCTTATTTTTATCATCATCTTTCGTTTTTCCTGATGGTTCTACGGTTCTTTGTTTGGCACTGTCAGTGTGGACCTCAATGGTTTTTTTAATGTTATCTGAATGTCTGCTGGGGTGCAACTGTTGGTCCACCATTGTTTTGGTGAGGGGAATCCCTTCTTTATTTGGTGTTGAATGGAATGTCATAGGTGTAAAACTGCCTATAACTGGGGACTTTCTAGAGTCACTAAATTTCATTTTCTTGCTAGCTCCTGATTTAGGTTCGGGCTGATCTTCTTTATTTGTCTCCTCTTCTGGTTCCTTCACCACAGCAACTGCCGGCGGCGAAATATTTTGAGGTTGGGTTTTCCTTTCAGTAATTTTATTACTGGTTGATTCACTAATTACTTTGTTTATGTCTTTTATTGGGACATGTGGAACACTTTTACTGACACCTTTTTCTTCTTTCACAGGCTGTAAAAGAAAAGAAGAAAATCAGAACGAGTATGCAAGAAATACAGAAATTTTATCATGCCATGAAATAAAAATTACAACAAACATAAGTTATCAATTCTTTACTTTTTTTACTCTAATCATTTAAAAATTTTAATAAGTAATTCTAATTTTAAGGGATAATATTTTGAACCAGATATATATAAATTCGCTAATTCAAATCATAATGATTCGCAAAATTGCTAAACATTAAAGTGTTATTATACAGTTACTACTGTAATTATTGTAAAATACTATAAAGATAAATTATTAAGTCTCACCACGTCTTTGGGCACTTCTATTTGAATTTCTTCATAAACCTCCAAATTTCCTTCAGCATTTTCACTGTAAAAATAAATTTAAAATTCTTAGTACCTAATACTTTTAAGAAATAATCTTTTGTAAGTTGACCCATTTTAACTATTAACACCTTATTAACCATTACAGTTGATCTTTTATCATAGAATTATCATGTGCAATTTAGGTCTCCATTCTCAGTAAATAATGTGCAATAATCCGAAATAATAACTTTTAGTTGCTCTTTCCAGAAGGCATACCAGATACAAGTGATTCAACACTGGAAATCCACATGCTTTCATTTATAAAACTGAACATTATGCAAGAAGTTTGCAGTTCTTCTATGTTGGAACATTAAAAATTTTAAACTGTACACAGTATCATTACACATAATCTATTTAAAGTAACCTGATTGGAACACTTGACCTCATTGTATCACACAATAATAAAAATAATGTTTATTGTCGTAACTAAAACCACTTCTAGAAATATCAACAAAGAAGATGTAGTCTAAATAATTGAAATACTATTTCCTTCACATTTTAATCACTACACACGAGATTATTTACCACAATGTTAGAATACAAAGTAACATTCTTCCTTAAGGCAATACCTATGTTATTATTTCAATAATCAGCACCCATATTGACAAAGATAACTAAAATTCAAATAAAATAAATACCTTTAATAATTTATAAAACATACAAAAAACTCACCGAACTTTTAGAAATTTAAAGTTTGACTGATGCTGGTCATCATCTATGATCTGCACGGCGGCCAGCTCCTCCCGCCCCTCCTTCCTGTACAAGTAGAGGCCGTTACCGATGTCTATAGCATCCACATTCTTGCCGTCAATCTGAAGTATCACTTCCATGTCTTTGCTTGGCACAGCTTCGGTTTCTACAAGAGTTGCTTCAGTTGTATCGGTGAGCTTTAGTTCAGGATTTGATTTCTCATCCACATCAACGTTGTCATCGATCACAAGCTCATCACCATCATATGAATTGTCATTATCGTCAAATATGTCCACACCACCCGACAATATGTTCGCTGCTTCTATCTGTTTACCAATTTTGTAGTCCTCCAAAAAGTCTTTCTTTCCAATTGGAGACAGGTTGGATATCAACTGGTCCGATTCAGTCATAGTCTTCTCGGATTCCATATTGGCGGACGCGAGTGAAACATCTTTTATAGGTGAGATATCAAAGGTGGAGTCAACTTCTGACAGAGAAAAGTATTTTGAAGAGCTCTCATTGGCAGTCATGTACGACTCGCTCGGCGGCGACGAGGTGTCCAGCGTGGAGTCCCTGGACGTCCCCGCCTCACCTCGCAACTGACTCAACCTATCCATTTTCACACTTCATCTGCTAGAAGAATAAATTAAACCAAAGTTAGTACATTTCACACATGAAAATTACAAAAATATACATATTTTAAAACAAAAATATAATGAAAACATCTGAAGGTTGGACAATTAATTAGCACGTAGGTCAATAGCAAAGAATTACAGTGAAACTTTTTTGTAGAACAAACGATACATAATGATACTGTGACACTTTTGATAAACATCGAATTTATTATACAGTACCAAGATAAATTTAGCTGCAGTAGCTTGCAGGTGAAATTGCAGATTGAAATTTTTCTGTTAGATCTACTGTAGAGGTGGTAATAATATTTTCAGGACAATTTTTGTTAACAACACAACACATCAAAGATTAAAGATGGACGCCAAATAGCGATGACATACTCTCTAATCTGTGATAGCGATGTTGCCGTTATTCCGCGTGTCATTAAATGTTATCATTATATCAATTTTGCTCCAAAAATGCATGGTATCGTTAAAATTTTTTTTTGTTAAAATAAATCTTATTTAAATACTAAAATATACTGCAAATTAAATTAAGTAGAAAATATGTCATTTGATATTAAAAAATATTTATCGATATTTAAGACATTGATAAAACTTTACTTTGACCAATTTTTGCCACTATCAGGCTAATTATAAAATATCTAAACTAGTAAGGAATTATTTGAGACTCGAGGTTTTTAAAATAATTACAAAGAACCATCACTAATTATTATCGATTGAATTTAGCAAGGTTTATCAAAAAATGGAACACGCTTATCACGAGCATTTACGAAGTTTGTTGTTTAAGTTTTTTTTATCTTGGTAAATTACCAAGTTATAAAAAAACAATAATTTGTTGAATCTGAAATATAAAAAAGCCTCGCCCAGATTAAAAAAAACGATAATTTTCTTTCGTCAATTTAATGAAAGATTAAATGCTCTCACGCACTCTCGCGGATTACGTTTAGCTTCATGGTCACGACGACAGGCTTTGTAAATAGTAGAAGGAACTGTCAATGTCATTGTCATCTACGTCATTTTTGAAATTTGGTAAACGTTGAAGAAAGGTAAAAAGTTAGCGTCCGCTCCGCTTTCGGATTTCTTTTTTGTGGACTTAAAGTGTTAAAGTGCTGAAAAAATATTATGGCTCCTCGCGAGACGCCGAAAGCCACTCCAAAAGTGCAACGCACTATTGTAAAGACGGCTGGTACTAAGGCCAGAACTCCTACATCGAGTGTAAAAAAGACCATGTCTGTAAGGAAATCGGAAAAAGCTCCTCTAAAAGGTAGTTTTCTTTAATTATTATTTATATTATTAATCCTAATAGAGATTATGAGTCACCTTTTGCCGGTTTTCAATGGTTAATCGTCCTTTTCCAGATAGTTTCTAACTCTTTTTACATTTCAGTGAATAATGTGACGATGGAAGGGAGACAACGGACCGCTACGGTCCCGAAGGTAGCGACGCCTAAGCCTAAAGAGAATAGATCGGTTCCAGTCCCCGGTAGCGTCACCAAAAGCGGCAAAAAGGCGTCGTGGAAGCGTCGCCCGAAGCCCGCGCATTCCGGCGTCCCTGTCCCTGAGAAAATGAAGAGGCTGCTCGAGAAACAGCTTCAGGACTCTGACTGTAGTTTATAAACAGATTTTAAAGATTACTTTGATATCTTTTGACTTTTAAGGCTTTATTGTCAAAACAAAACCACTGACTAGGATTTATTTTGTTAACAGAACTCTTTCTTCTTTTATTTATAGCACCTTGAATGCTTGTAAGTTGAACTTTCATGGTAATTATCCCTTTATAAGATAGGCATTCAATGTGATAACTGAGAGGTATGGCAATACTTGAAGAAAGATTTTAGATGTCTTAGTTTAGGGTTTTTGTTTTTATTTCGTAATACACTGATACTGGCTGCCAGGTTCAGAACGGTTCAGTTAGGTTTTCCCAATTTATTAATTATATTCCTAATTTTTTCATTATAATCATGACTTTGTATCAAAATGCAGTAATTAATTTTACTTACTTAAATATTTTAGAGCAAGCTTGTTAATGAATAAAATTATAGTTCAAGTCCAGTGCCATAAAAAAGTAGACATTTTTCATCCCATTATAGCTCTTAGTTTGCTTTATCACTTTTGCACTTAATTTATACATTTATGTGTATAATTTTAGTGTAATTATTATGACCCCACCATTCATTAATAATTAAAATTGATTGTTTGGGTTCTTCCATGTTCATAAGCTGAGTAGCTATGTGGTTAACATACCTATATCATTAGCAGATAGAACGTAGTTCTAAGATAAATTAGCTTTAGATATTGTACAAATTATTATTAGTTAGCTAAATAATCTACGTTGTGCCTAAATTCATCAAAATCCCTTCAGCTCTCTCAAAATAAACTTATACAATAATTGTAATTCCTGTAAGTAGTTTCTAAAAAAATAATTGATAATGATATAAATAAGTGGACTTATTGATAGTTTATTGTAAATTCTGATGTGGACCAAATAATTGTAATTCTGTCTAGAATTGAATTTTATAGAGTTATAAGATTGTCATTACAATTTTAGTTATAATATTATGTATGATTGATTATGGTACCTAATACCAATTGGATAAAAAGCTTATTTTCATCTTATAAATAAATAAATAGCTGAAAAAATTATGAAACCTTTCATTTATGCAATAAAACTATAATTTAACTGCTAGAGCAGGAACTTATCCTTTTTTTCGTCGTTAGTTAACATGATTATACTTGCGACTTAGGTACAGTCAGCAGTAGTAGTCAGCACGTTTGCAACAGGTCCTGTGACAGGTCTTTGCAGTACAGTAGCGGTGGTCCGCCCCGGGTGCCAAGCATCAGGTAGTGACAACAGTCGCGCAAAAATCACTGGCGCATGGTATCATATAGCTCATTCGTACTAACATCTCTTCGAATCGGTACCAAAAATCGGGGGGCACCAGACCATTCTAGGGTGGGGTGACCAGAGCCCCGATTACGGTAATTTTTAACGTCAACAATCCAGACACGCTTCTCGATTCTGCGATACGATTGGTCGTTCAACAGCGTACGTCAGCTGTTTTGACCAATCGTATCGCAGAATCAGAAACGCGTCTGGATTGTAGACGTTATAAAAGTTACCGTAATCGGGGCTCAGATCGACTATTCCGACCGACTAATCGCCCCGGGTGCCAACCCATGCTACGCAGCCACTGGGTCTTTGTTACAACTGGAATAGATTGTGTTGTCAACCAAAACTACTTTGGCTGTCACAAACTATTTGACGCTGACTGTAATTTGTATCTATCACGAATGTTATTTTGTTGCATTACCTAAAATTCGTCTCCTTGAACACTTGACATTGGCAGAATCATTGCGGCAATAAATCCGCGGGATAGTAAAAAAAAATGTTATTTTGTTTAGGGAGATAGGGATAGGTGCCTGAGTTTCTTCCGCTACTTCTTCTCAGCACCAGCCCAATGTTGTCCCGAAGTGGTGGTAGGGCAAGCTATATTTGGGACGTGTACAAGTGCCCTGGAAAGGGCCTATGTTATGTACCTTACCTACTGAATAAACTTTAATTTCATTTTAGGTGACCTTTACCACCTATCTGTTTTGTGTTTACCATTTACCCCCTCTTAAATATAAAGTGATTATAATCCTAAGCCTAAAGTTCTATTTGTCTTTCTCATTCACCTTTGGACAGACAGAAACAGATAGAGTCAAGTAATTCATGTGTATTGATAGAATAGATAGTAACGTCCTGTTTTCGGATGCGTCTCGCGACTTTTTTATTTGAAAACTGTCTGGCGCCAGACGCGCACTCCATACGGAATGTCACTAATCCTTTAGGCTTCATTACGTAATGCAGGTACTAATGTAATCTTGATAACATCTATTGAGCCTTTATAAAGCGTGTATGATTCAATAGAGACGCAGCTAGTTCTGGCAAAAAATATACTTACGAGTTTTATCAAACCAAGAGTATATAAATACATTCATCATAACATAGTAATGTTATGTACTTTGGAACTGCTGCTCGTGTGAGGGATTAATCTTAGGTAGGTGGGTAGGTACATTATCATAAAGAACAGATGGTGTGTGTAACGATGTCCTTGATCATGATGGGCAAAAGTTGTACCTAATCTATAAATAAATACTGAATAGATTTGTCATTGATACTTATGTAATTACAAGACAGGATTATATTCCGGCTAATTCTACTGCTGAAAAAAATTGAAGAGATGTAGAATTTGAAAAAAAAAACAGTCACTTTCACATGGCAGAAAAGATGTTATTGTGTATTGTTATAGTATAATCTATGTCAAAGTTATTAAGATTTGTTCTTGCTTAGGTACCTACTATACTACTAATACTCCGAGAAGTAGGTATCACCTCCTACAAAGCAACTAAACTATAGGTACGAATAAATAAGTATCTACATATCTGTTAAAGCTTCGCGCGTCGGCGATAAGACTGTTGCAGGTTCGAATCCCGGATCGCAATCGGGGACATATTAATGTCACTTAGAGAGCAAGTATCAATTAATTAATACCCGGAGTTATTAGTTAGTTGCTATCTGCTTATTATGGTGCGACTTATAATTTACATAATAGTAAAAAATATTTAATTAGCTTGCTTTAGGTAATTGACCTAAAGCTGGACCTATTAATTAAGTTAATGTGGTCTAATTCAAGCTTTTTCTGCGATTCCTATTGGCCAAAATGTAACTCAAATTAACGACTTTATGAACCATTGTGTGCCTTGTTATTGGAGGGAGGCGCCTGATGATCGGCGTGACGATAAGGCCTGATGGCTGCTGATAACAGTCTAACTAGCGTTCCTGTAGGTCCCATTGTTATGATTAGCACGTCGATGCAGGTAATATTTTAGACTAAACTAGGCAGTATGTAGAGACAAGATAGGCTATCTTCAACAGATATCCTGTGGGTCTTAACAACCCTAGACTGCTAGTAGGAGCCATTTAAGGGACTTTATGGCTATCTAATATTTAAAAACAGAGACCAAACCAGAGAGCAGTCTTTGGTACGATTCATACCACGCTAGATGTGTTTCACATGGAAAACCACCATAACACCTTCGCGTTGACAGTTGACACTCAAAGGACGGGGTGATTCTCAGCGGGGAAATTAGTCCACTTATTTCTGATTTCGATCTCGTTATCTAAGTTAAAACTAAAGTAGGTACCTAGCTACCTAGAACTATAATAATGAGTATGGATGGTAATACATTAGAAACATAACGTTTGCCAGCAACTAGAAATGTCTGACGTCAAAAACTATTTCTTTAATTTAGAACACGTTTGTACATTACCAAGGGGTAGAGTAAGATAGTGATGGCGTCATAGATGCGCTGTACTAGGAGTAGGAGGGTGAAGAAGTGTGGGTACGTAACCTTTTTTTGCGCGAGACAGACTCGCACTTGACAGATTTTTAAGACATTAAATAACAATAAGACGACGTCTTAACTAACAAGGGTAGTAATAAACATAGGTACTCCGCCAATCAGAGCCCGCCCACACCCAACTACGGCTTGCGCAGACGGCTGATCGTCCAACTATGGATCATAGACCCAACTGATCGCACGGTTTGTGAGTCTAGGCACGCGTCACCAGCCCATTATCAATTAACTTAGGCATAGAACATGATTTACGGGCGCCAGGCCCCGCCTGTCGCGGGTGATGGATGCTATTTGACGCCTCATGATTATTTAATCAGGGTTTAAAGTGGTACAAGTTAGGAGCGCTTGTTCTAAGTTGAAAGAATAGGGTTCTCGTTTAGTTTTTTGTTGAGTTGTAGACTACTTTAGTCATAATATTATGTTAAGACTTAAGCGCAGAGTAGGACGCCCACCCACAAAGTTGGACGACCTCATAAAGGTAGCAGGAAGGCGCTGGATGCAGGCCGCCACCAACCGGCCATTATGGAAATCCTTGGGGGAGACATATGTTCAGCAGTGGACGTCCTATGGCTGAAATGATAACGACGATGAAGATCTCCAAACTACGAATAAAAACGTCCCAGGTTAAAATGTACCATGTAGGTACGTGAACCTACATGGTACATTTTAACCTGTTTATAAAAATGAAAGTGTGTCACATTTGCATGGCTAATTTTACTCCGTTAACTTCGAGGTGATTGCAGATTTTAGCAAATTGCAGACAATATTTCTGACCTGTACTAATAATAATACGAGCACACTATTGTCCCAAAGAGGTCAAGTGCTTAGTTAAATCTCACAAGGTAAAACTGGAAGAAGCCTTGGACAATTTGCATTGGTGCATAATTATGAAAAATATTAAAATTTTGAACAATTTGTTTTTGCTAACTTTACGTGATGGAGTAAAAACTATAACTCTGGTAAGTATAAGATTCTATAAAAATCTACATGTACTTACCTATACAGGGTGTTAGGTAAATGGGTATACGAGGGCTGCACTGCAAATTTCGGGAATCAAGGAAGTGAAACAACATTACTATTTTAAAATGTATTTATTGCTTTTTAAAGTATTCTCCGCGAAATTTGACACATTTTTCCATACACGAAACCAATCATTGAAGCAACCATTGCATTCGGAAGTTTGGGTCTCCAAAATGGCCGTTTTGTAGGCTTCCACAGCTTCTTCAGGTGATGAAAATCTCTGACCACGCAATTTATTCTTTATTTTCGGGAAAGTATAGAAATCATTAGGGCTTAGGTCGGGGCTGTACGGCGGATGGACTAATAATTCTATGTTTTCTTGCTCTAAAAACTCTTTTGTTCAGTGCGCGGTGTGAGAACTCGCATTGTCGTGATGGAGGATGATGCGGCGGTTGCAGTTCTCTTTACGGAGTTCAGAAACGACCTGTGGCAAACAAATGCTAGCATACTAATCTGCATTAACCGTTCTTTGTCCCCCAAGAGGAATAGTCGCAACATGGCCGGTTTTGGAGACAAACGTGGCCACCATTTTTTTTGCAACACTCCGTGAACGAACAATTTTTGTTGGCTTTAATTCATTTTCGAACACCCAAACTCGTGACTGGTTTTTTGTTTCGGGTTCGTACGCGTATATCCATGATTCGTCACCTGATACGATGTTGTATACAGCATTTGAGGATCCTGCATGTAATCTCCCGAGAGTTCTGACGCACCAAGTAACGCGAGCCGCTTTTTGCTCTTCACAGAGCGAATGCGGTATCCATCGGGAAAACAACTTTTTTACACCTAATTGTTCATGCAAGATTATTTGTATTTGACTCATGCCAATGTCTAAAGTTGCCTGAATTTCGCGGTATATCACATGTCGATCTTCTTCAATCAGCTTACGCACAGCATCAACGTTTTCTTAGGTGACTGCAGTTTTTGGACGACCTTGACGGGGATCATCACTGAGCTTGACACGTCCACGTTGAAATTCAGGAAACCAGCGATAAATTGTGGTTTTGGATGGGGCTTCATTACCAAATGCAGAAATCATCCGGTCAACACACTGTTTTTGTGTTAAACCACTTCAAAAGTCATAATAAATCATCGCTCTTG